CAAACACTCTGCTTCGGGTTTAAAAATCAGCCCTTTGGGAGGATGCAGAGCAAGCCTGTTTCTCCCCCTCATCCCATCCACGAGATGACACCTGAGGAGCAGAGCAGCGTGCAAGGGGACTTGGGACAGGAGGATGATGCTGCTCGGTGTCACCGTGCTGGGCAGCACGAGGGGTCACCATGAAGCCACGGGCGACACCATTAGCTGGTGAGCAGCTTGAGAGGCCTGGTTTGAACCCGGTTTTAAGCAGCTCCAAGCCTCACCTGGATGAGGCTGTAATCCCCAGCTATCCCTTTATCCCCTCCCCAGCAGCCGTTTGTCTGTCCTCAGCGGTTTCCACTCGCGAGGAGGGATGTGGCTGGCCAAGGGCAGTGGGGATCCCTGCACCACATGTGCCTCCCCAGAAGGGAATAAAAAAAAAAACCAAACCCTCACACATGCCAGCAGGGCTTTGGTGGGGGGAGGCCCTACCTCAAGCATGACGACGCAGATCTGTTTGACGCACTCGATGATGGACTGTGGGATCCCAGCAATGGTGATGGCTCGCTCGGTCGAGTTGGGCAGCATGTCTCCTGCCACCTGGACCTGTGCCCCCGTGCTCTGTAAAGTTGACAGTTAAAAATAGGTGGTCAGACCCCAGGGAGGGTGGTGACCTCAGCAACAAACCCCGTGGCTGGGTTATACATAGCTAAAACTGCTCCCCCCACCACTGTCACCATTCTCTCCACTAAAATAAAGTTCTTTAATCCTAGGTGGAAATAATTCGGTCATTGGGAGCCCAGGGCAGAGAGGAAGACCTGGGCTGCAGTTTTTTTCCTGCAACCCAAGTCAAGCCCAACTCTGCAGCCAGCAGAGCTGGACAGAGTTTAATCTGTCAGCAGCCTGGGGTTGGCAGCACCCAGTGCTAAATGGCATTACCGAGGGAGACACAGACCTGGCAACACATTCCCCATCTCCAACAACTGGGGGAAAAAAAAGAATTAAGAGCCCGGGGAAAGGCAGTGCAAGAACTCAGGTGTCCCGCTGTGGGGGACAAGACTGGGAAAGGGAGGGTCTGCCCTGAGTCTCAGTTTCACAAGGACTAAAAATATAAGGTCTAAAAAAGCCAAGGGATGCCACATCTCTGCTATGTGGTACCACCCAGGGTGGGGGCTGCTGCAAGGATTTGACCCTGGGGGCACCCAGACCCCACGTGCATCCCCCTGGGATGGGCCAACACCCACCTCTCGTATCTCTTTGATCTTGCAGCCTCCTTTCCCAATGAGGGAACCGCACTGGCTGGCGGGTACCACGAGTCGGAGGGTGACTGGGGGCCGGCTGGCAGCTGTACTGTTGGTCATGGAGCTGCTGATGTCCTGCGAGGAAGAGGAGTTACTCAGAGGGGTCAGCCTGACGCATTGCCCTCGCCAGAACGGCACGCGGGGAGGTGACGTGCCCGGCGGAGGGACGGGGAGGATGATGCTGGCACAGGCAGACCAGGCCAAGGTGACCCCAGGGCTCTTCCTGGTCCTATTTTATTTCCCAGGACTTTGTTAACGGCCCAGAAACGCCACATTTTGGGGAAGGAGGAAGAAGCCAAACACTGTTGTCTTAACAAATATGGGGGTTTAACCCCCTCTTAGCCCAGCACAGAAGCACTGGTTGGGTCACACCACTGGTGACACTGGAGGGGAAGGAGAGGTTGGGGGCTCGGTGTCCCCCCAGCTCTGGGTTCAGCACGGAGCCTCCCGTAGTAACGGGGGATCAGGGCGGGAGCAGCTCTGGGGAAAACAAGCCCAGCACTGATGACAGCGGTCATGTGCTGCCAGGGGGGAGGGGAGGCACAAGGCCACGGGCTCAACTGACCTACTAAAAGAAAAGCTTTAACGCCGAGCCCAGAGCGCCGGCAGCCAGGAGCCACCTTCAGCTGGGAAGCCCTTGGAGGACTCCAGCTCTTGGGGTAAAGCAGGAGGAGTGCTGGGCTCAGCAGCCTTTTAGGAGGAGGGAGCCTTGGGGACAGATCTGCCAGCACTAGAAGGGTCCCAAATCTGAAGGGTAACAGGATTTTTAACCCCCACGGGTGAGGTGAGGACCGCAGAGCTCTGCCTCACACCAAGTGAGGAGCGCTCACACCTTCCGAACGACGTGGAGCAGGATGGAAAACTCCTCTACGCCAGGGCCCTGAGCAGGCTCTAATGCCTGCAGCCAGGATCCAGGTTATCCAGCATCAACATTCCCCTGAAAATCACCGATCTGACAGGAGCAGGGGCAAAACACAGCTTCAGCACCACACAATCACAGCCCTGGCTCCCCTCCTGGGCAGGGCTGGAGATGGAGCCGAGCCCCAAAGGGGCAGCAGCACAAGCGCCCAGGATGAGCAAAGCCCAGGGAGTTTAAGCCCTGCTCTGGTTTAAGGGGTATAACGGGTGCCCGCGGGGTGTTTTGAGCCCCTGCAGGGCTCTGGCACTCAGCAAGCTCAGCTTAACAACGGCTGAGCACCCACGGGGAAGCAGCACTACCTGGACCTTGCCCCTGCTTGCAGCTGGGCAAAGATCAGGCATCGCAGGGAAAACAGCCCCAGCCCGCGCGGAACGGGCCCATCCCACCGCTCATCCCCAGGGAAGAGCTCTTCCTCGTGATCCAGATTCCCCCCCGTCACGCTCTGGGGCAGATCCCAGGGCAAATTTCTCTGGGGAGAGGGGTAAAGGCTGCCTGCTCCCGGCAGGCAGGGATGGGGGGGCTGGAGGCCACAGACACACCTCTTCCAGTTTGTCAATGATCATCGCAAAAGCTTTGAAGATGGCATTGGTGGGTCCAGCGAGGGTGATGATCCGTTCGGGGCAGTTCCCTTCTGAGATGTTAATGCGAGCACCGCTCTGCGGGAGGAAAACGAGCCAACGTCAGGGCTCCCAGCCCCCCAACTCAACCCCCCAAAACACAGCAGCGGGTCCACACGCCCGCCTCGGTTCTGCAGGGGGGCAACCAGGATTCCCCCCGCCCCCCACCAGCCCAGCAGAAGGTGAATCCTCCCTGGCTCGGCTCGGCTCCGGGCAGCCATCTTAGCCTCCTCAGCTTCCTGCCCGGCCCTGCCTACACCTCCCAGCATGCCTTGCGCCTGCCCGCTCCCATCTGCTGCCGGTGCCGCCAGCCCTGCACTGCCTGTGAATTCCCCGACAGGCCCGCGCCGCCCCGCCTGAGCCCCCACCCCAGCTCCGGGACTCACCTCCTCACGCATCTTCTTCACGGACTCGCCTTTCTGCGTGCGGAGGGGGAGGAAGAGAAAGAGAGGCGTTAGCGTGGCTGCGCAGGGCAGTGAGGGGGGAGAGGGAGGCAGGGCGAGGGGATTTGGTGCTCACTTACCTTCCCAATGATGCTTCCCACCTCCTGGGATGGAAACAAAAGCGACATTAGTTAGTGCTTAAAAAAAAAAAACACCAAACTCCCGAGAGTTTCAAGCTTAAACAACTCTTTTACAGCCATAAAAAGTTCTTTGACACCTCAGATATCCCCCCCACCAGACGTAGTGACACCTTGCTCCCAGCTGAGCTCCCCACCGGGTGACTTTCCCCCCCCCGGCTGTTATTTTTATTGATGCGCTGCGCTTTTAAAGCGCTGCCTCGCTTGTCATGAGATATCCAGGAGCCGGCCGGGTGCCAAGGAGCACATTCCTACCACCACTGTCTAATGGCCGCAGTAACGAGGGCCAAGCGACACCGATTTACTGCCGTGGAAGCACCCAGTCTCCCTCCGGGCTGCCGAAGAGTCACCCCTGCATCGGGCGAGGGGGCTTCGGCGCAGCCCCGCGCCCCATGGACACGTACCTTTCCGTGCATGAGTAGTCGGATGGTGAGTGTGACATTTAAACCACCTTCAATGACACCGGTGTCCATCTTGAGCTGCGTTGGGTTGAGTCAGGCTGCGTCAGTGCTCGGATCTTTGGTGGCTGGGTGAGCAGAGCTACGAACGAGAGAGGGGTTGTGTGTTTGAGGAGCTCTGATAACCCTCCCCGCCTGGTTTCAGATCCGTCCCAGAAGGGGATTCAAGCCCCTCTGTGCTTTTTTTCTCCCCTTGAATATCCCCCTGGCAGTTTTCGGGCCAGGCTCCTCTCCAAGCAGTGATCCCAAGAGCCGATCCGCAGTGGTTCAGCTCCCCAACAGGCTCCTTCTCCTGCCAGTTGTTTTCCAGGGCGAATGGGTTGAACTGGCACAATCCCACCTGCAGTGAGCCAAGGCCACAAGGGTCTCGCTCAGCCCCTGCCTCCTTCTAGCCTCACTCTTTTGCCCACACCTCCAGAGAACTTGTCTTTACTTGCAAAACCCACATCTTAATCTAGATTACAAACTTTCCTCTGCAGCTGCGTGTAGACACACATACGCCAGAGCAACCACTCCATTTCCCTTTGGTTTAACTCGCTTGGGGAGCTGGGCTGTTAAGAAAAAAAAACATTTATCTGCGCTCTGAGCCTGCATGGTGAGGCCTTGAAGACCGGGTTCCAAGTTGATTTACTCAAAACCAGATAAGGCCACATGAGCACACGATCAGGTTTCAAACAACCTGCAGCAGCCCGGAGTCGACAGCAGTTGCAAAACACCACGACCAGCCACCAGCTCGGCTAGTCAGCCGTTTAACTTTAAAAAGAAAATTAAATAAACTTCAAATTTCAGCTCTTGGTTTTATCACCCCAGCTGGTCACCGCCCCATCAAAGTTTAACCAAGCCCAGGGAAAAAAGAAGCCAGAGTGAGGGCAGGGGGATTAATCTGGCAGGGGACAGTGCCAAGCGGGCAGCGCTGCCGTGCTCCGGGTTAATGCTCTTTTAAGGGGAAGCTGCTGGCACAAAAAGGTTTATTTTTTTCGCCGTAGCGAGGAATCACAGCTTCCATAAAACTCAGTCTGACATCGCATCGGATCCAAAAAAATCACCCGTTTGCCTAGTTTGGAAAGAAGGGCTCAGGGATCCGAGCCTGGCAGCAACGGGGAGAGTCTAGACCCGAGCCCACGAGCTGGTTGTTTACGGGTTTCCCGGTTCACCGGAGGTGGCAGGAGCCTCGCTGGCACCCGCCGCCGTCTCTCCGGCTCTGAACCCACTCCTCCTCCCACCAGTTCAGCGTCCCAGTTCGCCTTCGTTAGCATTAATTTGCTTCCCTGGCAGCAGTTTTGCCAGTCAAACGAGCTTGGGTCGGTTACGGGGCCACCTCACAGCCCGCTGGGGACAAAAGGAGCCGACCAAACCTGCCGGGGGGTTACGCAAAGAGAGAAGCGAAGCTGTGTGGGGCGGGCTGAGGCCGGCAAGCAGCCGTCACTCCAATCCGGGCTCATGGCGAGGCTCTTCCGCAGGAAAACTTCCCCCCAAACTTCTCCTTACCTCCATCCAGCAGCCCTGCCTGCCCCCACGGGGCATGTGGAAAGCCCAGTCCCTTCCCACTGCCTGTA